AGGACAGACAAGTGTTTGAGGCAGCCTTGGAAAATCCATGTTTAGAGGCAGTGTTAGCTCCCAACTGCCATTCCTCCTGTGAAAAGGGCTACATTCAGTAGATGTTTATACACAAAATGACTAGAGAACCTGTCTTCAGTGCTTATTTGTTGAAGTCTGAGGAAAGCTTTTTTCCTTGCATGTTCTTTATTTAAAATGGGTTTATAAGGGCTTCAGCTTAACATCCTGTAAGTTTTCAGTCTAAGGAAGAGCAGTATATATAATTAAGCCAAAACTGAGGTTTCCCTCACCTTAAAACTGAGTGTGCTCTCGTTTCTGCCACACTTGATGATTAAGGTGTACCCGCAGCTTGGCTGGGTTTTCATGTTATGAGATGGTGTGCCTGGTCCACTGTTTTGTTTTGGAACCTCTTCCTGCTGAACGCTTATGCCGTATGTAAGAGAATCTCTGATTGGTGGAGTGTGCAGTGCAATCAAGTAAACTGGCAGCTGGTCATTTCCCCTCTCGCTGGCCTTTGCGGTGACCTTAAGTAGAGCTGTTCAAATGATGACCTGTTGGCTTTTGGTTTCCATGCCTGAAATGATATTTATTTTTAAGCTCAAATGTTATTTAACTATTATAGAAATCAAACGATAAAAAAACACAGAATAATAATGGAATCGTCTGCAGTTGCAGGTGCCTGACGTTTGCAGAGGTCTGATCTCTTCACCCTCATCACAGACCTCCTTTATTTCTGTCCCCAGGTGTGTGGTGGTCCTACTGAACCCCAAAAAGAACAAGCAGCATCACATCCTCAATAGCTCCAGGTGAGTAGATCCCCCGAATTAGTGATTAAAAGCAGGTCCTCAGCACTCAGGCATGTGGGCCCGCAAAGCATCAGGTGCCAGTCTGCATCTGTCTGCATCTTCTATGCCGGTGCTTACTGGGGCAGTTCAGGTTAGATGCCTCGTTCAGCTGCATTTTGTTGAGCGGTGCTTTGTCCAGCTGCCTGCTAGAGCTGTCTGCTGTGCCACAAACAACTTCACCCTTCCTAAGCACTCCCTAAGATCTCCGCATGAACAGCAGCCCCCCTTGTGCTCCATCCAGATGTTTCTTGCTAGCAGTCGGCAAGCTTCCACCCTCCGTCTCATCCTCCACCAAAGGCCGTTTGGATGAGTGCTCGCTTTCCTTTTCATCATTTGGATTCTGACTGTTTGTTCCCTCTTGAAGCCCCATTAAGACCTTCAGGCAGCAGCACTACTCTGACCATGCACCTGTTTATTTATTTACCAACCGAAAATACTTTTTATTTAGTATTGTCATAGGTGTGGATGCATCAGGGGTGAAGGGCAAGTAACTGTGACTGAAAAAGTTGCTCTTTTTTTGTCTCTAGAAAAACAATCACCACTGTAGCGTTCTCTCCCGATGGCAAGTACCTGGTCACTGGAGAGGTGAGTCCCATGATGCTGTGAGTCCCATGATGCTGTGAGTCCCATGATGCTGTGAGTCCCATGATGCTGTGAGTCCCATGATGCTGTGAGGCTCATAGGAGAGAATCTGTGCAGCGGAAGTTGCAGGACATGTACAGGGAATTCCTCAATCTGTCCGAATGTGTTGTGTCTGTATTGCAAACTTTTTTTTTTTTTTTTTTTTTTTTTGTGATGTATATGCTTTTGAGAAGATACATTCACGATTTCAAGTGATAAGGGGAACTGTGACTTTGTTCATTGAACTCCCCAAGGACTCTTGACAGTGATAATGCACACGGTGGATGTGAGCCCATATGTGAGTGTGCGCTCAGTCTTCAGCACCTCCCCTCTGGGCACAGGGCCAGGCTCTGCATACGGTGGCCTGAGCTGGACCCAGGTCACGCAGCGGACTCTGACCTTGCTGACTCTGCTCCTAGGAATCCCCAGATCTGACTGTAAATCATTTCCCATCTCCCATCAAGAGAGCTTTGCATGTCTGATCTGAAACTGTGACCTTTTGGCTGAGTTGTCTATACTTTTCTTCCATAATAAGTTGACATGTAATATGACGTTTACAGGATCAGATGAACTGTAAGCTGATATGTTTAAGTATCTTGTATTATGAGAAGCCTCCAGGCAAATGCCATATTGTCCCTCAGGATTAAGCAACTCATGATCTCTCGTTGAACTGCAGCTCAGTGCCTAACCTGTTCTCACCTGTTCTGTCAAATTGATCAGGGATGTGGTTGTCAAGGGTAGCCCTCTTGATGCATGCAAGCTGAGCCCTTTGCAAGAATTTCAGGCCCTTCATTTTGTTACCTGAATAGGTAGAGGCCACAGAACCATACCTCAGTATTCTGAATAAGATATAAAGGCCTCAGGTTGAAAGCTGTGTTTGATCTAGTAATGCTACACCCTCAAATGACCTGTTTGCCTGTGACCCAGCATTGCCCAGGCCTGGATGCTGTAGACTAGTGCAGCACATCTGAACCCTTTAGGAAACACACTACTTTTATCTGTGTAAACATTTGTCCACTCCAGCAATGCAGGAGCTCCCGGGAAAACAGCCTCTTCTCTTTGCCGTCGGCGCTCCCTGCTCAGCATTTGTTTAGATAACCGGCGAACGTGAGCCCTTGAAGGCCGGGAGCGGTTCTGCAAACAGGGGGAAGCCGACCAGAGGCAGAGGCAGAGGCAGAGGCAGAGGCAGAGGCAGAGGCAGAGGCCATGTTAAGCGAAGGGTCCTCCAAGCTTTGGCGTTGCTGTATAATGGAAGGTTGCTTGGCTTGACTTTAGAGGTTCTGGCTGGAAAGCTGTCGCCTCTCAGGCCCGGATTTCCAAGTCCTTCCCTTGTTCTTTGTGTTTCCTGTGGGTGTTCTGGTGTCTTCCCACAGCCCAAACACGGCTCTGCTTAACTGGCGATTTCCACTTGCAAAGTAGTGTGTCATGTTGGTTTACCACAAACCCCTAATGAACCCACTGCTCCCTTTTGGGGGCCCGAGTCATTTAATATGACTAGTTTTGTGCAGATATCACCGTCTTGGAATCTGCCGGTCTGGAATTGTTAATGTGGAGTGGGTCTTAGCCTTTCTTTTCAGCTGTAAGAATAAGGTGTATTTGGGCAGCTATTGATCCATGTGACTTTCTTTTTGCGGAAAGCAGTTTGGCTGCTTCCGTGTAGCACAAGTGCCAATCCGAGCGTCTGAGGGTTGCTGTGTCAGTTTGGTGCTGTCGTCACTGAATGCGAATTCTTTTGCCCGTCAGAGTGGGCATATGCCCGCCGTGCGGGTCTGGGACGTGCTGGAGCGCAGCCAGGTCGCAGAGCTCCAGGAGCACAAGTACGGGGTGTCCTGCGTGGCCTTCTCCCCCAACAGCAAGTATATCGTCAGCGTGGGCTACCAGCACGACATGATCATCAACGTCTGGGCCTGGAAGGTACTGCCCTATGGCTGGCTCGTCGTCCATGCCTGACCTCGTTCTGGCTTCTGGGTCGTACCATGAACTAGTTCAGCATTTCTCAAACCAGTCCTCAGGGACCCCCAGACACGTTTTCGCTGCTTCCCAGCTCCCAACGCACCTGTAACCCGGACTGTCTGGGGGTCTCCAAGCACTGGGTTTAGAAACGCTAATGTAATCCAAGGCTTTTCTCTCTCAATCTCAAATTCCCTCACTAATCTCAGAATGGAATATTCCACTTTAGAGTTCTTTAGCATAAAGCAAACTAGACTTTAAACGAGACCTTTTGTGGATCTGAGAAATGAACATATAAAAGCATGTTCTTTTGCATTGTGTGTTGGGAAATAATGACCCTCTAAAACCTATATATAAGTATAAAAAGATCTAAAAATCTATAAATTAGTGAGCTGGGAGAAGATGAGGGGTGGAGGTAATGCCTAGTTTTCCACTTGAGGACCTGCTGAATGTGGCATCCTTTCCTGATGTCTGTGTTTATGTACATTTTTTTTTTTTGCTTCCCCACAGAAAAATGCAGTGGTTGCTGCGAACAAGGTGTCCAGCAGGGTGACAGCAGTGTCCTTTTCTGGAGACAGCTCTTACTTTGTCACTGCTGGGAACAGGCACGTGAAGTTCTGGTACCTGGACCACACAAAGTCCTCAAAGGTATTCCCAGCACAGTGCAGCATCCAGTGTAACTCATTGCCCGGTTAGTGTGCTGTGAAGCAAAGTGAGTGTGTGTGTGTGTGTGTGCAGACTGTCCTGCACTTACAGCAGTTGTGCTGCAGACCCTCAGACAGATGTCACTAAGGCACTCGCTGTGAAGCGCATGTGACACAGGCAGCTGAAGCCCCCCCCCCCCATTTCCACATTAAAATAACCCCCCCTTATGCATGGTGACACTTCGTGCCCATATGTTATGAATCGCCTTATTCTCGCCTTTCCTCACATGCATTCTCCTTGTTCCCAGCCCTGCTCTCGTCTCCTTTCACCTCCCGTGGGGGTGTTTTCTGTGTTTATTCACCCTTGCAGCCTGGGTGCTTGCCTGTTTTTCCATTATTAATTACATGCTCGATTGTATGGTACATTTTCCGCCTTGGATCATGCAAATGTGCTGCAAATGCTGAGCTCATTATTTTTCCCACTTAGCTTCACCCCCCCTTAAGGCACCCAAGGCCCACATTCACAGTACAGTATAGGACAGTTATTCTAAAGGACTCATTATGAAAGTGTTTATTTTTTTCATGTTATTCAAACTTTTTTTTTTTTTTTTTGACACGGCCT